CTAAAGCAAACCAATTATATTTACAGTTTTTTTTGTTTGGCGCGTCGCGTTGGTTATATATTTATATGCGTGTGGAGAGTTTCTCGAAATCTCATTTTTACGTAACAATACTGAAGCCAACACTAGCGTTTACGTACACACATATATTGTTGATTCTTACACTCCAGAATGTTCTACAAATTTAGAGAATAGGCAGGAGTTTCGCAATACATATTTAACAGTATAAGTTATGTACATTTTTAAATATAAATTTGATTCAAACAAACATCGATATTAAAATAATATATAATAATAAATCCGTCGCATGTTGTACTGATATTGTGACAGCATGACCATTGATTGTGTCAGGTAATCAACTTGATTGTGTCGGTTATCATTCAGCATGACTATATGTCAGCTGTCGTGAATCATGATTGTGTGCCAATTGGAATATTTTTTGGCTCGTCTGATACTCTGTTAGTGTGACAAATCACTTGGATGTAGGAGAAGTAGAAATTAGATATAATGTTAATTTCATCTCCATATTTTAGATCGACCTGGTTTATTAGACCCAAAAGGTAAAGCAAAGTGGGATGCCTGGAATTCCAAAAAAGGTACGTTTAAAGAGTCTTGGTATATCTTATTGTTTAAAGAGTCTTGGTATATCTTATTGTTTAAAGAGTCTTGGTATATCTTATTGTTTAAAGAGTCTTGGTATATCTTATTGTTTGAAGAACCTTGTCATATCTTATTGTTTGAAGTTAGAAATGCGTATAAAAATAAAAACATGGAATTACAGAATAAATATTCAGGTCACTGAGGTCATTACGTAACTCATTTAAGTTTCATAATCATAAGAAAAAAACTAATGTTACAATAATAATTCTAGGAATATTTATGAAAAATAAAATGATAAAAACCCTATAACCTGAGTGCTTTCGAAAACCTTTCTTCTTCAGGGACAAAACGAGTTTGCCCCTGAAGAAGAAAGGTTTTCGAAAGCACTTAGGTTATATGATTTTTATCATTTTATATCAAGACTAATTGAACCTACGTGTTTTTCTGACATCATGAATATAAAGAATTAAATTGTACATAAATGTTTTACACAAGTGACATAGTTTACTTTGTCGAGATTTAAAACTGCAGAACTTTCTATAGGTGAACATTTAAGACCGACGAAAATTTATGCTTTAATTGATTATTTTAACATTAATTACAAAGTAAAACATTCGGTAATTTAAACGAATCATATCTCTAATATATATATTTTTTTTAGCCTAACATATTTTTATGTTAATTCACAGGAACGCCCCAGGACTCAGCGAAAGAAACGTACATCGCAAAAGCCAATCAACTCGTAGAATCACATGGGCTGAAATGATCAGTTTGTTGAATACTGGCTACATTATTCTGTTGTACACGCTAGTATCTTGGTTTCAATGTAAAGTATACGACTTAAAATTGTAATAATGTAAAATCTGTGTAGTTGGTGCATCTTACCTGCATTTCATCCAAAAGAAACGACTTGAAACAGTTTTTACCTTCTTAATTATGAAGGCATATTAGCTATACGACGATGTTTTTATTTTGTTTGCAATATTTAGAAAATTGTAATGAAAAAATTCATTAAATTACATATCAACTCAATGCGTGTGTAATTCAGTAATGTAGTCATTAATAGAAATGTGCTTCTGTATAAACCATTAATGATTGTACAGTGAACTACAGAAATAATCCAATAAATTATCATTATCCCTTTGTAGTAGTGTTTCTCTAAGCGTGTGAAGGTAGGTCGTTAATAAACACCTGTGTTCTTTTACATATTAAACTGGCATGATTTTTAAATGTTTCTTTCTTTGCCACACAGTCTACACGAATTATTAGAATGAACTATAATACTGATAAAAACATGTATCTATATCGTTTTAAACTTAATATTCGCACTTCTTAGTAAGGAAACGTGAATAAAAGGAAAGGGCACGATAAGAAAGACAGTATATTAAAATTAATAATTTATGTTTGAGGCTCTTTAGACTTTGTTAGAGCGCTACCAACACTCTTCACCCATTGAGCGTAAGACTCACGCTCGCAGGTATTAGTAAAAAAAAAATCAAATTAGCAACTTTCTATAATGCATTGTTGTTGGTTAACTAGCAGTATCCAGATCTGATTCAGAATCACATTGATCCAGGAAATGGATCATCTTGCTTCATTGAATAAAACATTTCTGGTCGAGAATATCTCACTCAAACCTATTCTGGCCCAGCATGGCCAGGTGATTAGGGCGCTCGACTTGCAATCTGCAGGTCGCGGATTCGAATTTCCGTCCTACCAAACATGCTCGCCCTTTCAGCCGTGGGGGCGTTATAATGTGGCGGTCAATCCCACTATTCGTTGGTAAAAGAGTAGCCCAAGAGTTGGCGGTGGGTGGTGATGACTAGCTGCCTTCCTTCTAGCCTTTCACTGATAAATTAGGGACGGCTACCGCAGATAGCCCTCGTGTAGCTTTGCGCAAAATTCAAAACAATCAATCAATGTAAGGACCTGTGGACTCGAGTTACAAAAATCACAATTATGTGCAAATTTTGCACAAAAATATCACTTGTTGAAATATTTTATTCGTTGTCGTTAATTAATGTGTTCGAGTATTAGGAATGCAATAGATGTTTTCTAGAAGCTAGGCAGAATTAAATATTTAATGTTTCAAGAAGCTAAGGACCGGTATTAAATACTGCGAAAGCACTGTTTCATTTTCGAATGCAGTAAAATAAACTGAAAATCTTATATAGTACATAATAAACATTTACAACAATTCCAGAAGCAAAATACAAAATGATCAACTTAAGTTCTGAATCTATAAATACATAATTAAATCAAACGAGAAAGTATGTAATAAAAAGAAAATATATTAATCCATATATATGAGAAAATTAACAAGTTCGAAATTTATTCAATGCAAACACACACACACACACATATATATACACTATCCTATCAAAAGTCATGGGACACACCTCTGATTGCAGGAAAATGGATGTAATGACGAAATAAGCAAATAGTTTGGCCTATAATGGTAATCAGCGGTTCGCTCGGAAGTCATTTCAACTTGTACGCGGAACGATAAGTAGGAAAGAGCTAACAGAGTTTCAGAAGGGAAGGATAGTTGGATGTCATTCGGGGAAAATGTCTGTACTTGCTATTGCTCAATAATTAAACATTCCCAGGTCGATAATTGGCAACGTGCTGAAGAAATGGAAGTCTACAGGTGACAATAAGCCCAAGAAACGACCAGGTAGGCGTCAAATACTTACTGACAGGAGCCGACGCACCTTGAGAAGGCTGGTTACCTCATCTCTCCATTAGACTCTAGAGAATCTGTGTTTGGAGATGCGAGCAGCCACAGGCAGTCCTATAAGTGTTTCCACGACACGTCGAGAGCTGAGTGCCATGAATGTTCACGGAAGAGCTGCAGCCCATAAGCCCTTGATAATTAAAACAAATGCACACCGTCGATAACTATGGGGCAAAGCACACCCAACCTGGACCGTGGATCAAAGGAAATTGGTCCTGTGGGGCGACGAGTCATGCTACATGCTTTTCCAGTCTGATGGACGTGTTTGGGTAAGAAGGATGCCCAGAGAACTCTTATTATCTGAGGGTGTTGTCCCAACAGTGAAGTTTGGAGATAGCAGTATCACAGTCTGGGGGGTGCTTCTCGTTCTATGGACTAGGTCCACTGGTCGCAGTGCATGGACCCATGAATGCTGAGTCCTACATTGGTGTTCTGACCAATTCTGTGGGTCCTACATTGTAGTAATTTTATGGTACCGGTCCTTACACCTTCCAACATGATAACGCTCCATGTCACAAAGCAAGGATTGTGAACGCATGGTTTGAATAGAATAACATCGGAACATTGCAGTAGCTAGCACAGAGTCCCGACCTCAACCCGATAGAACATCTTTGGGATGAACTGGATCGCAGAATTAGGGCAAGGCCAAGACGGCCCTCTTTAGTAGTGGAGCTTACTAATGCTTTAAAAGGAGGAGTGGAGCATAATACCATCAGCTTTCCACCAGAAATTAGTAGACAGTCTTCCACGAAGTATTAAAGCAGTCATTAAGGCCAAAGACGGGTCAACACGCTAATAATTTATTGGAATAAAGACATGTTTTATTCATAACTACCCGTGTCCCATGACGTTTGGTAGGATAGTGTATATATATACATATGTATAAAAAATAGCAATACGGGACTTCAACATTTCTTGAAATTTCAATGACATAACGAAAATTGAAAACATCTCCAAACTTTTAACATTAGATATAGGTTAACGTTACATGTTGAAAAGAAATGTTTTTCCACAGAATTAATGTAAATCCAGTTTCTTGATTGAAGAATACACATGTGATTTTTAGAAAACATTAATATTGAGTAAAGAGAATGAACAATGATATTGAAAGAAAAAAGATTGGCTTAAAGTTAAGTTACTAGATTTGGCCACCCTTTCTATTTGCAATATGGCCGTCTACCTAATTTGTTCAAATTTGGCTAGAACAAATGTTGGAGGGTGGGGCTGAGGTCGGAGACACAATACTAGATGTTTACACTAACCCGAAATCGGACAGCCGACCAATCGCAAAACGTCATTTGAAGTCGGAAGTTTCCAAACATCTTAAAGTGCAATGGTCTATGAGATTAGAGAACCAGCGTAGAGTTAGGCTTCGAATCTTTCGCAATTCCGTCCTAATGGTGTGCCTTTTTTCGCCCATTTGTTTTGAATTGCATGAAATGACATTTTTTTTATCACCCAGAACAACATTTTCGTGCGTGAAAACATTTAGATGTAGCCTAAATTCGATAGATATAATGTCTGATCCGCTATCGCATTACCATGTTTCTTTATTAATCAAAATTTCAAGAAAAAAATGGTTGTCGCAATTTATAAAAATGTCAGCATATATTAATTAGTTTTAGAATTGAAAAACAAAAGTATGGTAGAACATAAGAGGAGACC